TTTTTTTTTTTTTTTTTTTTTTTTTTTTTTTTTTTTTTTTCTACAAGTATGAGTACATGAGGAAGCTTATTTATCCTAATAATGGATATTAATTTAGATGGAGATTTTGACTACTCTCTCTGTCCCTATTTTTTTTGCCCCGTTTGACTTTTCACGGTTTTTAAGACGTATCCAAGACGCACATATTTTCATTTCCATACACGTAAAAATTATAAAAATGTGATATTAATAAAATATGCAATTAGCCGAATCTAACAAGATCACTGATGACTATATTATCTTTTATAGATTAATGGTAATTTACGATCAAAGTTTATCAAATTTGACCCAATAAATGACAACGGGGCAAAAATAAAGGGTCAAAGGGAGTAATAATTAAGATAACCAGTAGCTAATGCTTGATTCATCTTATCTATTTAGAAATAAGGGTGATGATGTTTATCGCTTACTTATCTTAGAAAGGTTAAACAATTACGATTTATCAATAAACTCATCAAACCACTATTGAATCGCTAAAAGATTTTGATTGATTGATTAAGATAACAAATAGGTAACGGCCGAGTTATTTTGCCTGACTAGGTATGCTGATAAAAAAGACTATCAACTTATCAGAAAAAAGGCAAATGGTTGGTGTTAATAGAAACTCATGGGATAACTCATTGGATTGCTATGATACACATTTAATTACTATTATATGTTGAGCGTTTTTATAGCTTTGGGTGACTATAGTAACAACTTGTACTTTTTCAATTTTGTTGTAAATTATATCATTTAAAGTAACTATAAAGAAAGATTTTGATTGATAGTTAAGATAATCATGAATAGCTAACGCTCGATGCTTCTTACCTAATTAGGCATGGGGGTGGGGAAATTTATCCACTACCGGAAAAGATAAATTGTTACATTTTATCGAAAAACTCATCAAACCACTAATTGCATTGCTAATGATAAATTTTTGCTTACTATTTATGTTGTGCATAAGTATAATTTTGTTCCTTTGGATGATCGTAGTAATAGAATACACTCACCAATAAAAGTGTTGGCTAACTTAATATTCGAGGTCGGGTAAGGATTTCCTCATCTCTTCTAATCTCTACTCTCAAGTGTTTGACTCATAAATATTGGATAAAAAAATCACGAGGGTTCAGGTCTAGTCAAAGCTCCCTTACCAAGTTGTGATAAGGGTTACCCAAATTTTAAGTATGCTGGCAAGGAAGACTATGAGTTGATAATTTCATTCGGCCAAATTAAGATAAGTAAAAGTCACGTAAATATAACCCATCACAAGTGGTGGTTATTAGTGTTCGTGTCTTTATTAATGATACAATTGTAGGGTTAGATATTACATACTTTTTTGCCCTGTTATTACATGTGTTCATATGCAATTGATGGTATAAATAATTTTGTAGCGTACTAGCCAACTATCAAGTTTTTCAAAGCACTTTTTTTTTGGTGCAAACTTTTTTTATTGAATTATTTGAAAAATATGTTCTTTTTTACAACATAAACCTAAAATGATTTTTTAATGATAAATGCACTAGGTAAAATTTATCACTACTTGTTTATTATTTTAATAAATACAAAGTCATTAATAGCAACCTAGATAAGGATATATAGTGTCCAAGCAATTTTAAATTATGGGGTATTATTTGATATTATGAAGAAAAAAAAAGGTACATACTAGGATATATAAAAGCTCTTCTAAAACTTATGACATAACACAAGTACTTCATTTGATGTTAATCATGCACCTATTTATTGTGAATTTGTGTACCTCATTGAGCCACTTTTTAATTATCCTTGATGACATGTCACCACTCCTGCGAATTCATATACTTCTACATACCTCCTATCCTTCACCAAACAAATAAAATAATGTCATGATTAGAGCCCATGACATAACATATTCTACCTCAAAAACAGGCGTTGTCAAATTTCGCTACATTATTTGTTTTAGTTTATAATATCATTACAGATTTGCAATCTTGTGATTCTTGTCATCTATCTATTGCCAATTGCAATAGGAATCCTAATTGAAGGATTGATTTATAAAAGATATTTAATAAACCACCTAATTTATTATAAGAAGATCCTTTTAATAAATAGGCTATTATACAACGCAAAGTAGCCTTAATTTTTAAATTATTATTGCTATTAGTGCAACTTAATTTTCTCTTGCTAAGCCAACACTAGACATTTCAATATGTGTAAGTGTTAGAAAAATCATTTGTAAGCATGATTTAAGGTGTATGTTAATAATGATAGTTGTATCAACTTGTTTTAAATAACCAAAATGTTCTTACTTATTTACTATATTTGTAGCTCTAATGGTGCTTTTTTTTTTTTTTCCCTAGTTACATGGAACACTTGCTTAACCATCTAAGTATGTATTTTTATTGAGTTATATAGCCAAGACAAGTTGCTTGAATATGTTAATTTAAAAAGATAAAAAAAAAAAAAATTATACAAATGTGAGTGTATATTGTCTGGAAATGGTATATGAAAAAAATACTGATGTAGCAAGTTAAGGAAAATATGATCGTATCTGACGAATGCATAAAATTTATGATTTTTTTTTTCTTCCCAAAAACACTTTTTATGTAAAATCTAACATGGAAGAAAAAGCATTAGTAGAATATGTTGGAATATATTTCAAACATTAATGTTATATGTGGATGAATTCTTCCACATGGAGAGAATAAGGAGGGAGTGAGTCGTTAATATACTAAAACCTTGAATATGAGTTATGAAACAGGCTTGAGTGTGGTTTTGGTCTAGTGGGCTAAGTGTTATATATATATATATATATATAATCAAAGACTAAACACTTAACACGAGTAATTAAGTGTAATTATTTTTGCCGGTTTTATATTATAAGATCAATTTTTCTGATTCACCAACAGAATATTGATTAAATTTATTTTGTTGAGATATGTGAGTTAATGTAAAATATTATTATAAACTAAAATATATAATTAACACAATAACTTTTTATTTTACAAGGAAATCTAACGATTTATACTTAATCAGTTCATCATAGTAAGAGTTTTGATACACAATCACTATTGCATGACCTTTATTTTTAATTTTTATTTTTATCATAATGAAGCATTTGCTCTAACTCTCTTTGCTGCTACTCGTACTTTTTAAGAACTATACACGGAGTAGGTGAATAAATTCTCGAGGATTTTCATTGTACAACTAATCATTTATTTCGTCTATTTGCTCACAAGGTATAAGTATATGTGCAAAGAACTTTAGTTATAATATAAGGTACAATCTGTACCTAAATAATTTTAGATTTGCAAACATGGAATAGTAAAGAAAAAACATGCAAATAATGAAAGAAAAAGTGATGGAGGGGGATGAAAATTGAGAGCGCTTATTATTAGTATTTTTTAGTGTCGACTAAATTAGTAAATTTTAGTGATATCTTATACTCCCTTCATTTCATAATATTAGTCCCATATACTATTTTTGGCGTTTCAAAATGATCTACCCATATTGAATATGTTCCATTTTTATCTTAATTTTTTTGGAATTAATTGGCTGTGGATTGATGACATGACTCTAAGTAAGGAAATTTCTACCTTGAATTATGCAATTATGACTTATGCTTTCCCAAAAAAAGAAATAAAAAAACTTAAGGCATGTTTGGCATCGTTTTTGGTTTTCAGTTTTTTTTTTTTTAAAAACAAAAAACCAAAAATAAGAAACAAGAAAAAGGTGTTTCCACTTTTTTATTTTCAGTTTTCAAAATTATCATGATTTTAATAAGTTTGACTAATTTTTGATTCATTAAATGACATATATCATATGATTTTGAAAAACAAAAAACTAAACAACGGAAAAATACAGCAATGCCAAGCCCTTAAATAAGGTAAACTAATTATGAATTATTTTGTACTTTACTGTTAGATTCCAAATATTCCTCTTTTCTTATTTTATGTGATTGATTCCATACGAGACTAATATTATGAAACGGAGGGAGTAATCAATCAATAACATAATACTAAAAGCGAATCTGACTTGTCATGTTCTGATTAAAAAATTTCCCGCCACTTTCACTTTCCTTTTTTTTTTTTTTTTTTCAAATCTTCATGCATATTAATTAATATATCATATAATATCTAACTTTCAATTTGACAACTATATTCTAAGTATATTTTATATGCTTTAATGAAAATATTTTAACATATCTTTCATATATTTTATAATAGGTATTTTCTATAATAAACAACATATACTACGTATATAAGGTAATATTATTAGAATAATGTACTACTACTATACTCCGTATCATTCTACATCGTATTTTTACATTGGAAGTATTTTTGCTCCAACCAGGATTAACACTTTAACTTTTATTATATATTTGTTGATTTATTTATAATAATCACACTACAATTCAATAACTATAAATAATAAAAAAAAAAACCTTAGCTTGATTATTAACTGTCACAAAAAATAAGTCACTTAAATTTGTATAAAACACTTGTGTAGGTCAAAGTATGCTATAAAATATTGTGCCGGTCAAAAAACATGCCAACAAAGTAGGGACATATGAAGTATATAAGTATACTACACGAGTTATAAATAGCATAAAAGTTTATTCTCATATAATAAAATCCTATAATCATGAAATTTGTGTTTTTTAAAATGTTTAATGATCAATACGAGTAACTTTTGATATCAATATAACATAAAATTCAAGTTAGTTTTTTTTTTTTTTTAATGAAATTCAAGTATTTGTTTCAATTAAAAATATTGTTAAATTAACATAGTAATTCATAATTAGGTTAAGTAAAAACCGTGCGTTGCACGCGACGTAAACTAGTTAGATATATAAACAACTCAATTTTATTAGTCTTGAGAATAAAAGTGTTGTTTTGTACCTTAAAATTCTTGTTGTGCATAGATGGAATCACATTATCGAAATTTATAATGATAATCACAAGGTAATACAACATGGAGCAAAGATAGTAAGTGATTTATTTGACTGAACTCACTAATCTAGCTCAAAATATTGCCCGAATTACAGACTAGCTTATGTTAAAAAATGTAGTACGTATTTCATATTCCTTAAATTAAGAAAACATTAAAAAAAAAAAAAACAAAGGAAATTAAACGTTGACCGTCATAGTCGAGCAAACAGAGCAAATTTCCAGCGCCGCCAATCACAATTCTTCATTTTAATTTAGTTTTGATTAAAATTTATAGTTTCAGCTGACCAATAGAAAAATCTCCGCTCTTCACAGTCGTCATCGCCGCGTTTTCTCTCTCTTCAACTTTCCCGGTCATCTTTCTCTCTCCTCCCTCTTCTCTCTCTTCACGCCGTCACTCCCATTTTCTCTCTCTTCTCCTCTCTTCCTCCTTCTATCTCTATCCTCCGATCTTCATTGATATTCCAGAAATCTCTCGAATTCATCTTGACTTTTCCTACCATTTCTTCAAATCGAAGTGAATTTGCAGCTGTTTGAGCTAAGAGGAGAGAGAAAAGTTTCAAATTAAGGTATAAGTTATGTTGGCTTTCAATTTTTTTTTGGTGAAGTAGATTGCTGAAGAATTACTTACTGTTTCTGCTGAAAATTCATTCAAATGATTTGTTGATTCTTCGGGAGTTGTGTATTTAAGGAAGAGATCGTGTTTGATTTTTGTTTGGTGGTGATATTATTTTGTGTGAATTTTGAATGAAGGAGATAGTTGGAAGTGAGGGTGTGGAATAAGCAATTAAACACTTGATCTAGGGTTTCTAGGGTTTTGTAATTGATTTTAGGGTTTTATTGGTGGTTGCTGGGGATATTATTCAATCAGGTGGTGAATTTTGGTAAATGTTGCTCGTTTTTCAATGCATCACTTGTCTGGGATTTTTTCTCATAAGAAGCTGAACAAGAAAATGGACCAAGTATCATCTCCCAAACCAAAGCTTGTACGAAGAAATGCTGCCAAGAACTTTGATTACACTCCTTCAGCTTCGACATCACCATCGACCAGTGGTTCTTCAGCGCCACGAACGCGGTCACTTGACTTGGGCGTTGTTGTTGAAAAGACTAGCCTTCGGTGTGAAGGGAATGCTGGTGAAATTGAATGGATTTGTCAGAGCTTAGGGCTTTCTGGACCTGAAGACTTTCAGATTCCTCAGGCAGCTTACCAGGCTATGAAGAATAGATCATCTTCGGATGTTACTCCGAGGACTAAAAAGGAGCAACTTGATGGTGTTGATCTTAAAGTACCAATAAAGCAAGAGGAGGTTCAAAAGTTTGGTGATCGTATGCCTCATAGATTTGGAAATAGTGCTCAGAAGAATGAAATCATTCAGAATGATCGCATTGGCAACGAGTTTAGGCCATGTGGGCCTGCTGTTTTTCCACATCAGGCTGATAATAGTGTGAGACCTGTTTATGGAGGTGGAGGTGGAGGAATTAAAGGTGATCGTCCTCCATTGCTTACCCCTCCGCCAGCAATGTCTCTTCCGGTTCTTGATGATCAATGTTCTACCTGGGAGTTATTAAAAGGGTTCGCACCTGATGATAACAAGCCCCTTCGCGTTCCATATGTTGACCAAACTCAATCTTCTGATGACGAGGAGGATATTAGCAGAGAGGGAAGTCAGGGGGTAAGGATTGGGGAAACTATTATGCTGTCAGGATCTTGTTCTTTCACCACTACAAATGATGATGACTCATCTAGTTCAACCACGGAACCTGTATCGATTATTTCACCAAACGGAGTCTGTAAAGTTAATATAACCCAATGGATGAAAGGCTCTCAATTAGGAAGGGGTTCATTTGGAACTGTGTATGAAGGAATTTCTTGGTAAGTTTTGCTGCTGATCTTCTGTTTAATTTATTCATTTGAATAATGCTTAGGTTTTTGTGTGACCATCTACTGCGTGAGTGCGTGCTTACTTGGGTTGGCTGGGGGCGGGAATGGAGGTCGTCTCTTGGATATTAAGGGACTTTCAAGAGGATACAGATAGAGATAACTGGTCTGTATCTGATAGACTCATGGCTTTAAGAATAATTAATTCAGGCAGCAATCCTTTGTTAAATTAAGGGTGCTGATTCAATCCTTGTTGCAGCACAAACCCCCCTAATTCTGTTTCTTGAGCTCAAGTCTTATAATGCTAATGTTCAGTTAGATGCTGCTGAGAAGGACAACAGAAATGAATGCTTAATAAAGTTCATATTGCCGAAACATTCAATCCCCATTGTTCCATTTCTCCTTGCCTTTCTTATTTCAAGTGTATACAAATCTGAAATTAATAGTCTTTCCTCACTCCTGTATAGATCTGTATGGGAAACTTCTCACTACTTATCAATCTGCTTTCAGTGAGGGATTCTTTTTTGCCGTAAAGGAAGTTTCACTGCTTGAGCAAGGAAGTCAAGGAAGGCAGAGTATCTACCAACTTGAGCAGGTATGTTAGGCTTACATTTTTTATTGTTCGTTTGTATATTTGCAAGTGATAGCTATAGGCTATCAACTATTGTCCAGGATAACAGTCTTCAATTATTGGCTCGGTAAATTCACTTTCTTCAAATTTGTCATTGTCATATGTTGTCTCTGTAAATTCACTTTTTTCCCTATTTTTCATTTTCAGGAAATTGAGCTGCTTAGTCAGTTTGAACATGAGAATATAGTTCGATATCTTGGCACTGAAACGGTATCATATCATGCTGTCAGCTTGTCTTTTGAACCTCATTGTCTTAGAATGGCAATTGCAAATTTGCAATTGGACAGTTTTGATAAACTTGAAAATTGGAGATGTATTTTTGAGTTTTTTATATCAAGATTTTCTAATGCTATTCGATGTTTACTGCAGGCTGACTCAAAACTGTATATCTTCTTAGAACTCGTGACTCAGGGTTCCCTTGCAAAACTGTATCAACAGTATCGCCTTCGGGATTCCCATGTATCTAATTATACAAGACAGATTCTACTGGGTTTGAAATATCTTCATGATAAAAATGTGGTGCACAGGTATGCTGTGGAACTGTTTCTGTAGTTAATTTTTGATCTTTCTTACATTTAGTTATGCACTTGTGTGCAAACTCGTCTATTCACTGTTTTATATTTTGCTTTGAATTGCATAGATCCCCCCCCCCCCCCCCTTTTTTTTCTTTCCAATTTGCATCCTAAAAACCCTGTCATTGAATTTCTACTTTGCTAGAATAGTTGCTTTGTTGTGTGTGTGTGTGTGTGTGTGTGTGTGTGTTGTGTGTGTGTGTGTGTGTGTTGTGTGTGTGTGTGTGTGGGGGGGGGGGGTATACCTGCCTCCTCCTTTTCTTTCTCCGCTACTTCAAAACACACATAAGTATAGGCTGTATAGTACTCTACTCGCTCCACAAATTCACGGGTATGATCTCTTTGGACTTTTGAAGTGTGCTTTGGGGATTGTTTGTTGATTTTAAACTTTAAAGTGAAGACCATAAAATAGGCTAGAAGCAAAATTCATCATCCACGCTATTGCGTGATCCATCTATTTGGTGTGTGTGTGTGGTTCCTATCCTACCATTCATAGGTTACTCAGTCACCTGTCTCACACTCTCACCACAAACTAACGTAGTACATCTGCTTAAAGCAAAATACTTCACTCCAGAAGTAACAAGTGAACCCTAGTTTCTGATATCTGAGCTCCATCATATGGCTTCATAGCCTGTATAATCCTCTCTTTGCAGCTAATTTGTAATTAGTCTTGGAGCCTTAGAAAAAACGTTGTGCTTTGAACAAACCTCTAAGGAAACTCTTCTCGTGACCTTGCCGCATGTTCAGTACCATTGCTCTGAGAGTCTGAGTATATATCCTTGGATCATCAGGGGTCCATAGCATAATATCCATGGTAGGGCAGTGATGCAGGTGTTGTCATATATCATCAACGATAACAAAAACAACAACAAGGCCTTAGTCCCAAAATGATTTGGGGTCGACTAACATGAATCGTCATAAGAAACCGTACAATACAAAGAAAGGGACATAACAAGATAATCATTTGAAAGAGTTTGAAAAAAAAGTGAGTAAGTGAGCAAACAAAAGAGCTTTTAAGAAAAATTAAGGGAGTTTTAAAAGAGAACCAAGAACAAAATTCAAGAAAGTTTTAAAGGAGTGGTTAAAACGCTAGAGTAAAAAACGTAAAGGTTTGAGAAAACTTTAGCAAAGGAAAACAATACAGTTCGTAAAATATTAGTGGGATAAAATAATAAAATTAAATACGAAAATAAATTTAGAAAATATATATATAATCACGGCACGTCGTTGTCGTGAATTTTCTCCTTCCACACCGCCCTATCCAACACTATATTTTCCTCAATCCCCAAAACACTCATGTCACTCTCAATCACCCTCTTCCAAGTTTTCTTAGGTCTTCCCCTACCTCTCGCGATCCTAACACTTTGCAATTGCCCTATCCAACACCATATTTTCCTCAATCCCCAAAGCACTCATGTCACTCTCAATCACCCTCTTCCAAGTTTTCTTAGGTCTTCCCCTACCTCTCGCGATCCTAACACTTTGCTATTCTTCAAGCCTCCTTACTGGAATGTCACTTGGTCTCCTTCTTACATGGCCAAACCATCTGAAGCGATTCTCCCTCATCTATCATCATTTGGATAATATTGCCATTAAGTGCACTTGAATAATGAAAGCTATCCATGTAATGGCTGTATTATGTCAAAATCTGGGCGCGAATGAATATTTATTGTAAGGTTGTTTTTCCTATAAAAAATGCATCTTCCTTTGCCTTTCAACTGATTCTCTTAGCAACAATTTTCCCTTCTTGGTTTCCTGCCTCTCCAAAACCAAAACTTTTTAAAGTGCTGTTCACACTCTTCACAGGTTGAGGCTGTAGATTCAAACAATGCATCAGTCTGGATGATAATCTGTAATTTGACTTTTTGTATTTAGATGCATATCTAGGAGCATTATCTCGTTTGACATACTAACAACTGTAATGCTTCTGAGGATTAAGCTGCATTTTTTTTTTTCCCAACTCCCAGGGATATCAAAAGTGGCAACATCTTGGTGGCTTCGGATGGAACCGTAAAACTAGCAGATTTCGGATTGGCAAAGGTCTGCTGCTCTTTGATTTCCATTTTTCTAAACATCTAGCATGCTTTCTGCAACATTCTGCTCTTTCTCCAAAATATATTTATGAAAGTACTATATCTAATTTGTTTCATTGATGTTACATTGTTTTCCAGGCAACCAGATTAAATGACTTGAAGTCTTGTAAAGGGACCGCATTCTGGATGGCACCTGAGGTTAGCCTTTCTTCATGTTACTGATTTGAAATCTTACATTCCAAATTGATGGTTCAACCATATGAATATACGATGCAGATGGAACTGATGATCCCTTTGCTTATGGTGGTTGTCATATGATGAGAAATTTCTGTTGAGATTTACATACTTATTCTGTTGGGCACTTGCCTGCATGCCTCTTCTAACGATTTTCCAAGCAGTAGATGATTGATATTATATTCTTACACCAGTTACATGTACCAATGCCGGAGTAGGTCATTCAAGAGAAGATCCACCTATGGTCATAGTGTTGTTTGTTTTATCTTAAAATTTGTGCATTGCCTTCCATTAATCCCTATATTCCCTTTTCAGTAAGCTATACTTATACTGGATATAAATCTCATATTCTCATCTTTTGAGCCTAAGTTGTTGCCAAGTGCCAACCTCTTCTTTACACCTTTCAGTACCTTTTCAGATTATATGTTCTTCTCCTTATACCATACTTCTAATGTCGACAGCACAGGATTGACCATATATCTGGAAATGTGTTGCTAACTTCCATCACACTTTGCTTGTTAGCTAGGTCTATAATTTTCTGTCCTTTACACAGATACGTTTTTATATGCCTGGTTTAGATCACATGTTTGGTTCATCGCCGTTGAATGTTGCTTGGTTCATGGAATAGAAAAAACATCTTGGGAGTTTCAGGACCTTTTAGTAGCATATTTTTTTGCATTCCTGTAAATAGGTGCTCTATGTTAAGTTGTGGGTCTTTATTGAAAATATCGCACAAAGTCAATACTTAAGATAGCCCTTAAAGAAGGGTGGAATTATTAATACTGACTTGCTAAGATTAATTAGGAGGAAGTGTATTTCTTAAACCTTATAAGTTATAACACATGGTTAAAGCTGTGTACAGATCCTTCCTCATGGCTTTAACCCACCATATGTTTTATATAACTATTAAAGTGATGTTGGTGTTGTTTCAATAAAAAAATTATCTTCGTTGTCTAGTGGGAAAAAGTTAGTGTTGTATGCGCTAATTAGATCTAGGAACACCCTATGTTACCAGTTGAGGCATGCAAGTGGTTTGATGGAAGCCGGAAGAGAGTGAGACTTTGCATGGTCAAATACTTGCTACTATATGCTGGATCTCTTGATAATTTGTGTTAGGATATGTTTGGCAACATTGTTGCAATCTTCAATTGACCTCTGCAATTGCTTAGGTTTGGAATCTTTGGATAATGGATACTGTAGCTGGGGCTTGGTCTGTGTGTCCTTTGTGGGATTCCTGCATCCAGGTTCCTTTGAGGCTTCTGTCAATTTGTAGCCCACAACATACCTGCCTAAAGAAAATGCTATTTGTGTGATTAGATCTTTCAGAGAGATACTGGACCATTATGCTTAAATTTGAAAATATGTTGTTGGGTTAAAATTCCTTTTACTTCTCATTTAGATCTGTTTTACTTTGGGTATGCAGCTTGTATGCAGGGTCTGCTGTCCTCACAATTTTTTTTTTATATTTACCAGTTTTGACATAGTGCTGAGAACAAAGAGCATTATCATTAGCAAACCTATTAAAAAAAAAAGAGTGATTTATTAAGTCAAGAGGTATTAGGAATGGGAGGATTGGTCAGAAGTTCAGTTTTGAAGGATATGTTAGCTCTCTGAATCTCTGAGATTGGTGCTCCAAGGGAAGAAATATACAAATTAATATTTCACATTACAAATTAATATTTCACATTACTTGATTGGGACCATGGAGGGGTTAAACGAGGGAGAGGGAGACCGAAAATGACTTGGTTGGAAGGAGTTAGGAAGGATATGAAGTATATGGATTTGCATGAGGATGAGGCATTGGATTGTAAGGGATGGAGGAGGAAGATTTTTGTCGATGACTACACGGAATAATCACTTTTGGTTCATGTAGCTGACCCCACTTATGGGATTAAGGCTTTGATTGATTGATTTGGTATTTGTGAACTGTGATGCCTGTCTAAAGATGAGTATTAAATTTTTTTTCCTCCGTGATACACTTAGTAGGTGCTTTGGCATCTTGAGGTTTATTCTTTCAGCCGTTTGTGGACCATAAGCAAACCATTTAGAGTGCTTTTCTTGCATTTTTATTTTGTCTGCTGTGAATCCTAGGGTTGATTTATGGTTTATTCCTTGTAGTCTTGTACTTGCCGAGAATTTCTCTCTTGTGCAACAACACATTGGTTTATGGTTGACTATAATATATGGATATTATTGCATTTATGTACTTGTAAATTCCTAAGAAAGCATGAGCTCACTCTGTGGCTTTGTGTAATTTACTTCTTCCCTTAAAGATTTTTTTGATTTGTGATTTTCCAGGTTGTTAATCAGAAAAATAAAGGTTATGGACTGCCAGCAGATATCTGGAGCCTCGGATGCACTGTCTTGGAGATGCTAACCGGCCATGTTCCCTATTATCCTTTAGAATTTGTATGTGAATCCTATCATTTTTTATGTCTTTTTTTTTTTTTTTTTAACCTTGTCTTTTGGGTCGTTCTAATATTTAGTATTGTGGTGTGGGATTAAATCTAGCATTTAGGCATTTACAGATCTTAAATAGTGTCTTTATACATCTAGTCATCTACACTGTAGGTCTAAAGTCTAACTGTCTTAAGGTATGCTATTTTTCTTGACGGAACCTTAGGTATGTTTACTTAGTCTGGGAGGTGAGGATTGACTAATTGAGTATGGATGTGAATTCAACAATCGCACTTCGAATTTTTTTTAATAAGTGTTGTTTAGGGTGTCCTGGTGTCATTGCAACGGATGCAGGGGAGTGAAGTGTCGTAGAAACAAAGGATCAATTTCTGAGATATGGATGATTTTTAATTTCATACAATCCTTGTAGGTTTCTTATAGTGACGGCCAGATAAACAAAATACAATGACGTGTACTATAAATCAACCAGCTCTGATGCTGCGCTGATAGCTTTTAGAACCATTCAGGGCAGTATTTATGGTGCATTTGTCAGTAATCCCCAAGTTATGTAGAGTCTCCCCCCCTGGCCCCTCCTCCTTTGTACAGTAGACTTAAATAGTTGATGAGTTGTTCTTCGAAATGCCTTACTTATGGAAAATGATTTTCCCATTTTCTTCATTTTCCTTGGTTTGGTTTGTGAAGGGGTGGAAAACAATTTTCCTAATGGTGGAAATTTACTCTCAATGATGGAAAACATTTTCCTTTTACAAAATAAGGGAAGCTGCATTTTCCTCCCTCTTCCTCATCTCCTTTTTACTTTCCTCTCATCCATCCTTACCAATCTGCTCCTATTTTCATTTTCTCTATAACTTTTTATGTAAGGAAACAGAGGAAAACTATTTTTCAATTTTTGTTTTCCTTGAAAATATTTTTCCATGAAAAATCAATTTTCATTAAATTTGTTTTACGTCAAACCAAACGGAGCCTTAGAATTGCATCTTTTGCCCTCTTTTGAGCTATCTTCTGCTTCATCATCGGGTTTAGTCTTCTTGAGTTTCCTCAAAATTTGATATGACCGGCTTGATTTAAAATAGATCAATGGATTTTTGATTTTGAATTGGGCAAGGGAAAAAGCAAAATCCTCATTATTCATTTCATAATAAAAAAATTGAACGACATGGTCATTCGAAGATAGAGGAGTATCGAGTATGTAATCTTTTCTGAAACCCCTGTTTATACACCATGCTTACTTGCTTAGTAGAAGATGTCAGGCTATTGGAGTGTGAGATCCTATTTTTGAAACTTAATTATTGCTTATGAGATGGCCGATTGGTTATTTTTGAGGACACAATGGCACAATGCTGTGGTGTTACTCATGCAAGTTTTTATTTGCCCAATGGCTGCTAATTGGAATTTGCCATGATAATCACTATTGGCTTTGTATCACTATTATTTTTGGCTCTTTATGTTACTTCTGACGTATATTGTCTGTGATCAAGATGGAATTTTTTTTGTCATTATACATGTTACTGTTGCGGCATGCTTTGTGCTCTTCTTTTTATTAGCAGCTGTTCTCATTGGCAATTGCAGATGCAAGCACTTTTTAAGATCGGGAACGGTGAGGCACCTCCCATCCCTGATACTTTGTCCAAAGATGCTCGCGATTTTATCCAACAATGTCTACGTGTGAATCCAAATAATCGTCCTACAGCGGCTGAGCTCTTGGAACATCCATTTTTACGGAGACAACTTTATGCTCCATTAGGCTCAGAGTCACCTATGATGCGCGGGAAATCAATTTGAGTCTCTTGTCACTTGTAATTATTTTGTGGAGGTGAGTGCATCTTAGGTTTTCTTTTAATCTAGAATTCATGACTTGCATGCCCACCGCCATATATTATAGTATAAAATGAGAAGAAAAAATAAGCTCAATCAAACTATTAAACTCTCACCCTGCTGGCATATGGCGGTGGCACTGAAAATTGAGAGAATTTTTTTTGGTGTTTTGGCGGAAGGGTGGGTCATGTCAAAATCTGAAATGTGGGATATCCACTCAAACATCAACCAATTTCGGACAAAGGCTTTTTTTAAATTATTAATCATCTGTATGACCCACAATCAAGGCATATTTCTAAGTTCGAACAGTGAATATCCTGTCTCTTATTGGCCATCTGAGCATCATGTACTAAAGATCTCGAGAGTACGGGTTGTGGGCCTGTAGTCTAAATAGTATACCATTGTACTGGTTTCAGTTTTCACATGTTGAATTTTTTTAACACATAACTCACTTAAAATACAGTAACTTTATCCTCTCCCATTAGTCTTGTGATATTATACTCAAGAGAATAGCTCATTTGCTCTCTCTGTTGAGGCTGTTCCTCGGGTTAATGGATGTTTCCTCCTTGATGGCAGATAATATGTACATTTGGAGTTGCAACGTGTTCAGCAGAGTGTATCAAATAATTGAGTGACATATTTGATTCCTGTATGCAAGATTATCCATCTGAAAGAAAAGAAAAAACCAAAAAGTCAGAGGGATCTCTGTACGCATCCTACTCTGGATGAGTTATTAAATGGTCCTGGATGGCTGGCTAGCCCCGCCAGCGTGCTTTGATTCCTACCTCGCGTGATTCCAACTCCCTTAATTCAGGGATACTAAAAATGCAGAGGACAATCTGTAATATAATAGTCTAGGTTTTGGGGCTGTGTTTGTATCTGTGATCTGAAAATTAGTTAGCATATGATGATGGAATCTTGATTTATGAATGATAGTTTATTACTGTATGTAGGAAGATGGGTTTAGGCTTTTGTACACAACTGTAATTTTTTTTTGTCAGAAACAGTTTTATTCAGATCTATCCTGTGACGATTGTATGTTGTTCCTTCTCTTTTACTTCTACAGCCCGTACTCATATTGGTTTAATACTTTTTTGGGATTATTAAGCAAAGTTAACTCTATTCTTTTTAATAGTTATAGATCTATAGTTGCAAGTAATAAGAGACGAAGAATTTATGTTTTACTTAATTCGTTCTTATAAGATTTATAAGATCTACAGTTGGACAACTAGTCACTACTCGAGAAAATATTGCTGGTTTGATTAATGTATGCCGTCACCTAATCAATCGCTAAATCATGCTAATCAAAGTTAGGCAATGCCGTATTGGTCACTACTTGCGACTAGTGTTTTAATTACTCCGTATAATCTGTGAATCCTAAAAGTACAATTTTGCTGAAAGACCTTTATTAATACTTTCGTAGTAATTCTCTGTATTTGCTTGTCTGTCAATCCAAGTTCAAGTTTTTTTTTTTTTTTTTTTCTGAAAGAATCCAAGATCAAGTTCTGTTATAATAGTATTTGGAATAAACGTCATATTGAAGGGTATATTCTAAATTTGTAATGTCCTAATTTGTCATTTCACAAATTATGGACTTGTTGAGTTGTGGGTTGCTTTCTCTCTCATCATTCCATATATATTTCTCTCTCCTGGCAGATGGCGTAAAAATGTCACATAATGACTTTAATGAGGTGGTAGAGGTTAAGTTTTACAGGCATCCACCTTCTTTTGGCTTTAGCATCTTTTTTACATGTACTTACTATATGTTAAACTCTTCAAATGAGCTATTCTAAACATTAAATACCTCATGGTCTTCATCCATTGTTTTATACGAAGTAATTGCTACATTATTGATGTTCATAACAAAGTTTTTGAGTGGATTGGTGTTATTAATAGTTAATATATCCGCTTTTATCTTTTTATATATACTACAAATACAACTTTACTGTAGTTAATTTTTAGGCTGTATTAGTTAATCTTTAGGCTGTATATATGGAGTATCATTTTTCTTAAAAATATGTCATTTACCCTTCAATATACTTTTTGTAGAGTATATTTTTTGACGGAAAACAGTGAATATTATTAAGCAAAAGCTGAAAATTTAGACAATACAGACCAACGTGCTTCTTGAGGAACTTCCTCAATCCACACCCTTAGCTCCCCAAAAAGTTTACTAAGGTGGGCAGGGCAATGAGCCACCTTGTTACCCCTTCAACATACTTTGTGTATGTATTACTCTTTCCATTGAAAACATTTGTCAAATGATTTGAATCCGAAATTATTAAAGATCTATCATAATGTTTTAATTATAATTAAAGATCCACCCTTCACCATTTCATTTAGAATGAGAGTATATATATTTTTTAATTAATAATTATTTATACGAGTACAATAATACTCCGAATAATTAATACTCCGTAATTCCGTATTAAAACAAATACTGGTAGCATAATTAAGAATAAAAAGGGTAGAATCATACAAAGTATATATACTACTTCGTATATAGTATAGGCATACGCAAAGTAGCGTGGTCACCTTTTCTGGAACGTGAGCGAAGATCGGAGTTTGCCTATCAAGTCTCTCCGCTCTTCCCTCCTCATTTTTATTTTATCATTATTTTTTATTTATTCATAATATCTTCTTCTTCTCTTAATCTTTCTCTCTCTACATTCCTCTCATCTCACTTTCTCTCTCCTCTTCGATTGACGTCTTCGGACCAAATATCAGGTACCTTCTATAATTTCATTCTAGATTTCTAGGGTTTCATTTCCACATCTTATTTTTCCGCGATTTTTGGCTTTTTTTTTTTTTTTTTTTTCGTTTTCTGTTTTTATTATTGTTTTTGCGATCTCTTTTTTGCGGTTATTCGCTATTACGTAATGAATCAGTGATAGATGTGGTTAATTGATTGTACTTCTTATATTTGCGTTGAAAATTACGAATCTTTGTGAATTTTGGCGTTGATGAAGTTTGTATCGTTTCGAGGAAGTTTGCTGGGATTGTTGATGTGAATTTGAGTGTGCTGTGATTGTTTTGGGCGTAATTGAGATCTTTGACTGATTACTCATGGAGTTATACTATTGGAGTTCATCGTTTTACGGCATAGTAAGTAAATTGCATCTTCTAGCTATTTATAGGCATTAGCAAGGCCTGTAAATTGATAATAGAAAGGGTCAAAATCTGTTAAGTTTCATCTTTGATTAGGTTTGTTTGGTTCTGTTTGTTGACGAGAAATGCTACCTTTCTTTTATCTTTCTTGTGGCTGAATTGGGTGATTGAAAGTTTTGGTGAGTGGATTATGTAGAGGAGTTTGTGAAGCTGCCTTGTACGATGTGTGAAAATAGTTTTGTTATTGTTTTGTGTGCTATTCTTCTCTAATATCTTCAACTATAGAAATTGATCGGATTTCACAGAGTACATTGCAGTTATTATGGTGCATTGCTCCCCTTAAATATTCAAATGTAGTTAAATAACGTGGCTAACCGTTCATCATTTCATGTGAAGTGACTTGGATAGTTTTGATAGATTCATAGATTTATGTTAAATTTGGGTGCTTCTTTTTTTTTTATTTTTTAAGATTTTTAGTTTGCTGTTAATGTTGTTTTCCCTATGTTTTTTGACCGTAGAATATCTGTTTTTGTCCTCTTCCACACTTTTTAGCAACATTGGTGAGCTGGTTTGGATGGCCATCTGTTTAACATAACCTTTTTATGAGCATGTGGTCATATGATATGCAAAATGATACTTTTTGATATGGTGTAATATCAGAAGATGAAATGGTGACAACATGAAAAACATATCAAATTTGACTTATCCTTATTGGTTTCTCTATGAATGATCTATATTTATGAGGCACGTGCTCTTAGTAGAGTTATGTTTCCACGAACTTTATTCACGAATTTACTTAAGATCTATTTATATGCCTTCATTAATGAGTTAATTTTTCTTACATTTCTCTTCAAGCACGTTTGTAATGTGTCATTCTATGACATTATGGTTAGTTTTCATTGTTCAAATTAGAATGCATCAACATTATTGTGCTTTCTTGGTTATAATAATTGTTGTCTTTGATGGGATGAATACTATCTTGCTAAGTTTCTTGGTAAATGTAGCATGGAAACTCATGTAACTGATAAATTTCTTACTTCCTAACTTGTAATGTCAGATTCCCAGTAAACTCATTGATTTTTTTTTTTTTTGAAAGACTAAACAAGCTTTTCCTCAAAGTTCTTTTAAGTCTTGCTTCCTCTTTTAAAGCCATGTGAAATTTCTCAAAAGGTCATATTTTTTGTTTTCAAAACTTGGAAGGTCTGAAACTTAAGGAAGCTCAAGGGGAAATGTTTTCTTTGAAAGACCAGCAACCCCTTTCCTCATGATTTTAGGAGTCTCAGTGATAGTTTTCCTCCAGAATTTCTTCAAATAAACAAAACTAATTATAAATCCCTTTTATTTACTACCTCTATTTAAGAAAGATATTGACACTTTCTGTTTTTGTCTATTTCATAAAGTTCTTTGAAAGTCCCACCACCTACAACCCCTTACTCCGGATCTTAAGAGTCTGTCTTACTATATTTACCTTTTTATTACACATACTCATCACAGCAAGACTTTCTTTGTCTTAAATTCTGTGCAAAGTTTTAAATCTTTTTGAAACAGAGTTAGTGAATATTTGTGTTAGTAAAAACAGTTTTTAGATTTTAAAGAAAAATATATTGATTTATTGCTTTAGGCTTTGCAGTTTCATATATCTTTATGGTATGAAATTTGTAAGTAGCACGTCAATGTTTTCGTGTTACATTGTTGTAAAGCCCATTAGGATGTTAGATTGATGCGAGGCAGTAGTATTTTTGTTTATGCTTGTATTGCAATTGCTGGCCATGTAGGTTATTTTTGTTTTCCTGATGGAGTTAGGGCACCTATTAGTTGGTACAAGTAGTTACATAGTACTTGCTAAGATCAATGCCTTCATGGATTAAATGAACTTTATTAAGTTAGATGACTGAATCGGAAGGAATTTTGGGAAACCCCTTAACCACTGTCTCTGGTCAATCAGAATCTGGACCTCCCATTGGTACTCAGCTCTCTGTTCTCAATTGTCAATTGTGGTATGCCTTTATTTTTGTATGCTGACTTAGTTCTTTTGTTTTCTTAAGCCTGTCTAATCACTGATGAACCCTTTTTTGACTTTCTTTCGATAATGTGGAAGTAGTGGACCTGGATTGTTTAAGAGAACGTGCTATGAACCATTTTATTTCATTTGAGATAGATTAGCTTTGAAGCAGTGTATATGTTAACCGAGGAGCTAAGCTGATCATTGTAGGAGCCCGCACTTAATGGATGTAGGTTAATGCATCTGTTGGTGGGGCTAATTGGACTCTAGGTCTAGCCTTGATGTCTTCCTTTTCTTTAATGAAGCGAGAATATTCAATACATCTAAGATTTTATATTTTGATTATCTGAATAAGAGGGTTATATCTTATATGTACCGATACAATTTATTTATTGATCATAATCTGTTGTATGAGTTCAATATCAGTGCTTAGGAGAAGTTTGGAATTTAGAAAAAGGAGTTTGAGAGCAAGTTTGATACATTTTTTTTTATAAAGATATATGAACTTTTGTGACTGATGCTGTGATGGGATCAAATCTCGAAGTATATGTCAAGAAGTGAGCAGTTAGTCAGTTACTGAGGATAATATTTGTCAAAAGAGGGAATTGATACATGGCCTTCAAATCTGATCTAATAGTTTAATGATATGCTAAGTCCAAGTTATTGAGTTGGCCAGGAGTGGTCCTTCGCTACTGGAAAAGATAAGAACGTAAAACTGTTAAAGATATGAAGATTTCAGTAATAGCTTATAAAAGGCTTATTGGTAGGCATGTTTATTTTGAATTTTGCAATTGGAGGCAGTGTCTGTTTTTAATGGCACAGCAGTAACAACCTTACAAACCAAAAAGGGTTCAAAAGTAGGTTTATAGCGTTGGTTAAAAATTGAGGGGGGGTGGGGTGGGAAGAGTAGGAATACTGAGAATTTTAACCCATGACTCTCTGCTTTAGTTTTTCATGGGTATGTAACCTGGGGAGAAGGGGATAGCATGGGGAATTCATGTTGCTGGGCTCTTTGGTTGAATATAGTTTGTCTTGCTTTGGTTTTTTCTTCAAGATAATAGGATGCATTACTGTCATTTCAAGAAGGACAATGTTATATATTTTAATCATATTTTTTCTCCTATTTAACCAATTTATGCTGCCAAAATGTGGGTAGGTTTTGGATGAAAGTTGTATATAATCGGATAGAGGCCAGGTGTTTTTGGTTTTTTGTTGCTTATTTTTGGTCAAAATGGTAATCAAGTGTTGTACACTGGTTTGTATCCTTTTATTCCATGGTATTTGAGCATCATGCAATATATGTAGGTTCTATTACTGTTTAACATCAGCATTCCCAATCATCTCACTGTTATTCATTATGGTTTCGCTTATGGTTGGCAACATATAAATAATGGATAACATCAAAGTCATCTCATTGCAATTCTGCTGGACTTGTTAATGTTATTTTATAATTAGAAATTTGTGATGTACTAGTTATTGAGGCAAGTATTCATTTAATTTCATTTTTAAAGTTCAGTTGAGCTGTGGTCAGACTTATCGTTTATGAGAGTAGAGTATTGATTTCTTCTTGATTCTGAAATTCATGTGGAACTGTAGCAAGTATTATGAAGATATTGGATTGATAATTTGATTCAGAAACTAGTTTTTGGGTTTCGCTAACTCTGTATAAATGTATTGATAATTTAAATCTTGTTATTTTATGGATTTGCTGATTGTTACATCAAGCATTTTTGTTTTATCAACCAACTTCTGGTTCTCAAATCTAATTTATTGATTTATTTTAAGTAAGTGGAAATTGTTGCTGTTTGTATGCCAAGGTGTATTGTTCTGTTGGCAATATTTTATTTTATTATTTTTTTTTAAAAATTATTTATTAAGAGGAAGTTCTTGCTGTTTGTATGCCAAGATATATTGTTCTGTTAGCATAGCCACAAGTCTTCGAGGATAACCAGATGACAGCTGTTCTTTTAATTAGTACAATTATTATCATTCTTTATGTGGAGTTCTTTCTTGCGATTTCAGGTTTATTTATGGCGAAAGTTAGCAGGGTAAGGCGTCTGAAGTACAGATGCCGCAATGGCAAAGCAGAACGATTGCAGATTCCATCCTGCTCGCACAAGATCTTCAAAGACATGAAGAAGCCTTCTAAGCTTTCTGAGAAGAAAGATTGGGAGGATGCTACTTGCTCGGTTTGCATGGAGTCTCCTCACAATGCTGTTCTTCTGCTTTGTTCCTCTTACAACAAAGGCTGTCGTCCCTACATGTGCGCCACTGGCTATCGCTTTTCTAATTGTCTTGACCAGTATAAGAATGCATACGCAAAGACAACTCCCGGTTCTATCACTCCTGACCTCAATGCTGAATGGCCTGAGGAAAAGATGGAAGCGTCTGAGCTTCTGTGCCCACTCTGCCGTGGGCAGGTGAAGGGCTGGACCTTGGTTGAGCCAGCTCGGAAATATCTGAACAAGAAGAAACGAACATGCATGCAGGAGAATTGCTCTTTTGTTGGTAACTACAAACAGCTAAAGAAGCATGTCAAAAATGATCATCCTTGGGCACGACCCAGGGAAGTGGACCCTTCCCTTGAAGCAAAATGGAAAAGCTTGGAGAGGGAAAGAGAACTGAGTGATGTCATGAGCACTTTCTCCCCAGGGACTATTGTTTTGGGGGACTATGTTATTGATCCAAACTTTAACCCCTTCATTAGAGATTATGATGTGGATATGGAAGACTTGTTGGACAATGATCTTGAGACTTTTGGGGCAAGTAGAATCAGGAGCGGTGGATTCCAGTTGCACAGGACATCTGGGATTAATTACGAGTCATATGATGATGATGATGATGACGATGATGATGATGACAACGATGGAATTCATCGTCATTCAGCCTTTGGTAGAGGAGATGATATGATCCCACTTAGCCGTCATCATAGAAGAATGTTGTTTATGGGAAGGTCTCGTCGGAGGAGGCGGCGTGACTGACCTTTGTACAAAATCAGCAGCGCTCTTTGGTCCCCCCCCTAAAAAACCCTGGCGAAGTGGTTTTTGATCATAATTCAACTTCTACAATTGTTTGGGGGCCACATCTTCCAAGGCAGTGCGAATGCAAGTAGAAGTGAATCTTTCCTTTGTTTATTTAAGGTGGTTAAATTGAACATATTGTGATTTTAGATACGGGTTTATAAATTTCTCTCATGTGATTTGGCCTCGTAGGGATAGACCTCGAAAACTTTACTCTGTTACCTGCCGTGTTTGGCGGGTCTCATTTTTAATGCTTGTTTGTGCATAGTGAACATTGACCTGTAGGATACATCGTTCAGGTACATTTGATTCTCTTTAACACCAATCAAGGAAAATTACTCCTGACCCTAATTTTTAGTTTCTCCTTGTATTTAGCAGAAATCTTTGCAGGTTCTTCATGTTGGGGAGCCTTGTCTTTGATTAGATTTGAACATCAGGTTTGTTCGTATGTACAGTTGTATTTGCGCTTTATGCATTATAAATTGTAATTGAACTTGAAAAGCCAGGCAAATTATTTCATGCACCTGAGTGTATTCAGGATGGTCCTCCTGGTTCAGTGAATAATTGATGTGTGCAGCATGGTATGAGCCAGACCGTGAGTACCCTTGGAATTATAATTGATCTGGGAAAGTCGGCAACTTATTTTGTGCACTTGAGTGTATCCAGTATGGTACTCTTGGTTCAGTGACTGCCTGATGTATGCAGAGCACGGTATGAGCCGGACCATGAGCACCCTTTTGGATACTTTGAGGTGCACAATTTTAACTTTCAAGTAACACTATATAGCTTGAAATATGATCATGGGGTGACAGTGAGAGACGACCATATTGCACGATTCAAAGTCACAAATTCACAATGTCATGTTTTAGCAAATGAAGTTTCATGTAGATATTTACAGATATGTATAAGCTTATTTTAAGCAAAAATAATTGAACATCATACAACAAAATAGTTGAACATCATTCAGATCATTTTTGTTAAACATCAAAATGTGTACTACTTCGTATATCGGATAGTTTATGAATTATTGCGTAAATCTTGATATTGATCGTCATTTCGATCAAATCCCCCTTTGCTGCACTTGCTACCACATGAAAATTGCTTCAACACATAGCCCAATTTCTGCCAGACAAAAGAAACAAAGAAAATAATGCAGCAATTATAAGAATTCATCATCAGATTCAGATAGTACTACTACCTTAGAGATTTTAGAAATGACACTTGAAAATCTAAATGCAGTCTAACCTTAGAGAATTTACTACACCTTCCCCTGCCCCGGCGAGGGGAAGGGGATGTTCGGTATCTGTTTTCACGGTCTCTTGATTCGACGTTTTCGTATTTCCATGCCTTTTTCTTTTCTCTACCAAATAATCTCCCAAAGGAGAATTTGAGTGCTTTTAGACGTGCAAACCATCTTCTTCTTCTCTACATAAAAATTTATGCACAATCAACTTTTAATAATTATACATAGGTACCATTTCAATGCACTTATCATGTATACATCAATACAAAATGTTTATTTTTCCTACAAAAAATATAATAATCATGCACTAATGAAATGATGTTTGTGATTACCTTGGGCTTATTGGGTAGATTTGAAAAAACTGTAGGGCTATGATCATGTTGAATCTGTTGGGACCCCACATTTCGGAGGTGATGAGCGTAGGCCAGGAGGTCAGCACGGCGGTCATAGCCGCATGATGGTGTGGTTGATTTAGGGGTGATAGTTCTAATCTTCCGAGGCCGCGGCCCAGAAGTAGATGATTCCTCATACACTGTCACTATAACACGATTAACACTCCATTTTTGTTGTTTTTCCAGCTTACCCATTTTTTCTGCCTGTTTTTTCTCCTAATTTTGATTTGTTGGAATTTCTATCCAAGAGGGGATTAGCACAAAGTCTTTATACCATTAACCTAAAAATAGGATCTTCCAGAGTTGACAATAAATCTGATATTTCCATATAATCATAAATCAAATTAATGTGCAGAGGGATTAATTTGGAAAGAAAAATTAATTAAAAAAAAAAAAAAAGCAAAGGAACAACTACTCCATTGGAGAGGGACTTCTTTTCCCTTTTTCTTTTAAGTTTTAGTAATTTGGACATCAACTGATCAAGGTGACACCTCAATGACTAATCTTAAGGAATGTCCCACTGAGGCACTGACTCCAAAATGGACAGCAAGAAAAGATCTTACTAACTAACTCCAATGAAGACAAGCAACTAAAAAAGAGAGGGTGGTACCAAGAGTAACTACAGATTTTAAAAGTATGTACAAACGTGGTTAAATAAAAGTTATCGATTAATATGTAAAGGAGAATTTATTTATTAGTTATTACTTAAACGAACACTTTTTGGATGTACAAAGAGTTGTAGTAAGTGGGATTTGATCTAAAAATTGAGGTACTATCCCAGTACTTTGTTACTAATTATAAGTCAGTATTCATATGAGTACACTCTTATTTATTACGGAGTATATTTAAATTTTAGACTTTTATAGTAGTATTTGCATAGCAATTGTGTTATTATTTCAATCTACTAAGTGCTTGTTTGGTTGACGACATGCATTCGGTGGGAATGGAAATTTACAGGGAGCACAAGTAATTTTTTCTGATCCTTTAAATGCAATGTGGCATGATTGGCACCAGGTCACCAGTAAGGCCGCAACTCTGCTAGAGAAATTCCATTGATTTCTTGTTTGTAACTAGTGGGCCAAAAAACGGCATTCAATTGAAGAGGCCCGCTTTCCATTGATCAGTAATCAACGACCAAAAGCCCAATCTTTATATCCTGAGCCCAAGTCCAAGATTGAACATTATTAGCCCAACTCATTCAAAGGAGATATTTTTTTGAGCTGCACTTTTAGATTTTTTTTTTTTTTTTTTTTTTGCCTTTTTACAAAAAGTGTCAACCTTTAGAAAGATCTAAGAAATCTAAGAGCATGACGTTTATTGAAGGGACATTTTGCAATGCAATACTATATTACAAAAGTATTGCTGGTGTTTTAATATAAAAGACGCAAAAAGTATGAATATTAGCACATAATTCTAAAACATAATTGTATTTCACTTTCAAATATGGTGAAAATTTGGTTTCAATTAAAAATGTCTCAGATTAGAAAAATTATTAGATATTGCAATATAGATGTATAAAATAAAGGTTATAAATGCATTATATTATAAGATATTCCTACTTGCATTTTTTTTTTCTTTGAGATTAAACTTTGTGTTCCATTAGACCATATTTATAAGTCACTTGAATTCTATACTTGAATACTTCCCTTTTGTCACTAAACAAATGTTGTTACCTAACCCCCAACATCATTTTCAATTTTCATTAAAATTCGGTATTATTTTGGATTTTTTTTTTCCTGGAGACCATATAGGCATATAGGAACTACTAGGCTAAATCAAAAATCACAAACCTAAGTATGTTTTATTCACCCGATCTTCACTTTTTTAGATTCTTAAAATTTTTGGAACTTAACTGAACTAACTCGATTTTATTAGATTATTTATTTATTTAATAATACTTATAAATTGAATTGTGGTAAACTTTAAACTCTATTACTCCGTACTTCGTAAAATTTATTTGAGCTTATTATTAACCATTAATTAATTTTCAAAACTAATTTCTCTAGAAAGAAATGGAAATTAGGCTAACAGACCAAGACTTCAATGTTTGTCCCTCTAAAATTGCTCCAATATATACAAAAAATATAAGATGTTTCATCTAATGAGGAAATGGAGTTATACATCACCCCAAACTTGAATTAGGTAGCTTTCGAAAATACAAAGGTAAGAGGCCGGGCCAAAAGAATGTTAGTGTAAACCTAATAGTGATTTTAGTAAAAAAAAAAAAAAAAAAAAAACTTTAAATTGTTGTTAGAGTTAAATTGATATTCTAAAAGACTTACATCCATCATTTAAGGATGACAATGGACCATGCATGCTACATACTCCGTAAAATACAAGAACAATTTAAGTTTTCTTAACCCAATAACGATTGTAAAAAAGAAATAAAATGGACTTATAGTGCTCCCTATACAATGGAGTAACAGTTAAGAAAAATAATTGGAAATGCGAATAAAACTTGAAAATTAGGACCACAAATTACTTCTATAAGCTCGATTATAGAAGTTTCATATGATGATCAAAGTTGATTTCAAACCCTAATACTACAATATTAAATTCATAAATCAAATTAGGTATTTTGGTTACATACATTGGCTGTGTTCTTGAGTGGACAACATCAGAAAAATCAAAGCAATATAACGAGGAAGATGCTTTTTTCTGATTCTCATCAGCAAAAAAGTGGATTCTAGCTATCCGTTTTTTTTATTTTTTTTTTAGTATCTTTTCCTGTTAGTAATAAAGGTAAAATTAGGAGAGAAATAAAAATGCAAACTTAAATTAATGTTCCAATTGCACTAATAATGTTTAGAGGACTAATAACAGTCCAAATTAAGTGAACGTGATGTAATACCTTTTCATTTTGTGCTAAAATTTCTAATGGGAGTTCATGATCAATTGGGAATCTTTGAAAAAGGTGCAAATATTGTGTTTGACTGGTTTTCTTTCCCTTTTTATTTCATACTACCTCCTTTACATATTAGTTGCAACTTTGGAATTTTTTATGTCTCATAAATAATACCCCAAAGTTACAATTAAGTAACGAAGGTAGTACATACTTCTTTCGTTTCTTTTTACTTCTCAGGTTATGAATATTGCACTATTCTTTACCTTTACTTTGATCATTTTTGTGATTCAATGTCAAGAAAGTATATGATTGTTTGGAGTCTTGTTGTTTAAAATCATATCAAGTGTAAAAAAGATTATTTACAAGAATGTATATACTACGACGTATTACAATTCATTAATTTCCATACAAAAGAAGAGAAAGAAAATTAAAGTAAGGATATTTTAATTAATAGTTCAGTGTTATGCACAGGCTAAAATGATTTAAGATACATCTGAATTACAGAGAAACAAAAACTTTTAAGCAGGAAGCTCTTTTTATAGTATACATCTTTGCCTCTATTTGATTTATTATAGAATAATGTATGAATATTTTTAATTATAAAGTTTGTGTCAATGATAGTGATATATCGAGTAAATATGGAATCTTCGTAACGAACTTTCTCACCATTATCCCATAAATGAAAAGAAAGAAGATTTTCACTTCTTCCTATCCCAGCCTTAAGAAGAGAGTTGAAAGTGTTTCAAAATAGGAATAGTCATGCATGTATTTTAAGGTATTGAATTACTTCTCAAAATCAAACTACACATACAAAAGATTCATAGTTTATGTCAATATATCCATCACAAAAGTTGGGTACGAAATGAATATATGGCCTGTAGTCTACATTGTATATGGGCCACTGCATCATCCAATAGAATGAAGGTTTTGGGATTCTATGATTTCTATCCATCAATACTCTGTCTCATCACTCATCAGAGTCATCACCCTTCTTTGGTCACAAAGCTAAGGCATCCCATCAAACCATCAACTAGTCCAATTTGGGCAACTAGTGCTTATTGTCGCAATAATTTTGATCTAGCATGTTATGCATGCCAAATATCTTTTAAATATGTTTGTATTCATCATCATCTTAGCTAAGTATGTAAATTTACTATTATATTTCAATATACTCGATGTGATATACCTGAATGTATATAAATTAGACAGCTTGAATTCTCGACTTTTAAGGACATTGTAACATCATTTTAGCGAGAATGGCCTAGATAGAGTGAAAATGTTTTAAGTGAAAAGTTGTTTTTAAAAATAATAAAATATCCAACCTGGCATGATATAGACACGCAAGTAATATTGAGTTAATATGGGATTTTGGATCATATCAAGAAAGATTTTGATTCCATCTAGTCCAAGTAGAGGTATAATATTTGTCCATTTCCTTATGTTTGTTTGAGGTCCTAATTAATTTGGCATACCTGAGCAAACCAATATCAAGGTAAAACTAAAGTATTGAATGGAGAGAAATTACACAAGAAATTTGTATAGGTTATAGCACATTGTATTTGGCGCCAGCTGAATGAAATTTCGTTCCTAGTAAATCAGTGATGAAGAAATTTCCTGAATTTCTGTTGAATTTGCTAAATTTGTAAAGATAGAGCACACTTTTCATTAGCTAGCTATAGTCCATATGTTACCCTACAGTACAACAACCACTTGAAATCTCAATTTGATTGGTTTGTTTTTTATAATTTTTTTTTCCTTCATGATTTAGACGTTTGTTGCGAAAGTATAAACTTTAATCAAACTTTGGTGTAATGTCTTAAGGATAAACTGTGGTATGATAAATACCCTAAAAAGGGAAATGGTAGGAATATAATGGGTTGAGAATTAAGAGCCATTCAAAAATTTGAAAGCCAATTTAGTTTTGTATGTAGTTTCATTTTCCTCTTAACTTTTGGGTAGGTGTTACATGCTTACACCACATTTTTCCACAAGAAAAGGAAGTGATATATAAAACCATCATTTAATTTTTCTTCTTCTTTCCTATGAAAGTGCCCAATGTCTTTGGAAAAGTTGTTATTTCTTTTTTGATAATTATTAGGATAGGATTGAATTTTTTAATGGCCTAGCCCCCCACCCCCACTCCCCCTTCCCTTATAACTATGATATTAAAAAGGATTAGGTTAATGACTAAACTCGATTATATACTATATACTCCATTTATATATATTATAAAATGAAGTATTTAGGTTATAATATGAATTTACTTTCTTTCTTTTTTGTAGTGTCTAGTTATATTCATTTATAACAATGACAAGAACTGACAATAAATTAGTTTTATAAAAAGATTAATGAGATTTTTGTATTATATAGTACATTATATAAATGATCAAATAATGACAATGCTTGAAACCATTATAATATTAATGAACGTATTGTATGTTAGGTCTTCTAAAAAAAAAAAAAACATCGTATGTTAGGGAGATGATGTATAATTTTTAAGTAAGATGATTGTGATTGCTTAAAAAAAATAAGAAAAAAAAAATAGAAAAGTAAGATGATTGTGGCTTCTATATAAGTTTAGGGGGATTTTAGATGATTAATTAAGGTGGACAAATTGATTCCATATACTTGCAGCTAAATCATAAACATATGCATAGTCCATAAAGTTGCATGTGAATGGGCCAAAAGGTCGGAGTATAAAAAAGGAGCAAGGGAAACA